CGCCCGAGGTCATCCACCCAGAGCGGAATGAAGCGGGAAGCTGGTCGAGCTGTAAAGGTCGCACTTCAATAGCGGTCGCCTACCTGATGATGCGAAAATGCTTGAATTACCTAGACGAATAGCCCTCCCACAAGATATTAGGGCCTACCCCGTTACTTCTCANTGAGGAAAAGATCAAGCTCATCTTTGTACCTACCATCTCTGTTTGCTAAGTAAGGGAAAGGACGCATGTAAGCCCAGCTGAAGTGAAGTTGGTTGGTGCAGTAACCGTTATCGGCTGAGTACGCCTAAATGCAAGATTACGACCCCATAGATTGGCGCGGCTGAAAAGGTCTTGTAGATGAGTGTAGGCACTGCTACTTACCACTTCTCTAAGCCATCTCGGTTGTTTCAGCTGACGCCATAGTTCCCACAGATAATCGACGAAGGCGTGATGCATGAAGAAGATTGGCTAAAATCGAAGATGACAATCATGTCAAGAAGAAAAGGAAGGCACTCTGGGCAACTGGAACTTACCTCGTTTGCCGAGGTACTGGGTGGTTTCATGTCTCCTCCGATCCACAGATGTACGTTTGAGTGAATGTACTCGATAGCCCCGTAGTTGTTCGGATAAGGACAACCTGAATGGTGAAAGTAAGATGTATTTGGTAGGTTGAAGAAAAGCTGATATCTTACGTCTGTCAAACGAACCCATCAGGCCCCTTCTCTCTTTAGACTATATCAGTAGATGGACCCGAGCGTATTGAAAGACTTAGATCTCTCTACCCATTTGGATCTGACATTCCTGCATCTTAGGTTAGGGTAAAATTTGGGAGTGGTTTCTCATTTTTTATTTGGTGATGTACACCTCTTATAGGGGCCTCCTGCCTATGACGGGTTCCAGTGTAGGAGCTCTCTCAGGGGTTTTGGGATAGGAATGAAATAGGTACGGTAAGGTTAGATGGTTATGTGCTAACAGGAATCGTATTGATTCGATTATGGCTTGTTGTTGTTTATGCTTCTGCACGAGTCCCTTTCCCTTCCAAAATAAACAGTAGTCCTTCTAAGTCGTCTCGTTCACAACGTCATCTACCCCATAGAAAGTGTTTGGCTGATTAGCTTAGGAGTTTTGTGCAGAAAGCGAGGTCATGGTGTTGTAAAAATTTCAGTCGTACCTAATGATTGTCATTTTTTCATTTTTCCTAGTAATGTATCATTTCGTGACGTAATCGGCGAATGAGCGTTAGAAAAAGGCCGAAATTACGGCTCACAATTGGTTTGTCTACAAATTCTTCGAATTTACACTAAGCCATTTTACTCGGTGGTCTCACACACGCACAAAACAGCTTTGAACCCCGTAGCCCCCGCCTTCAGTGGGTCAGGTTTTTCCTATTGTGTGTACAATCAATTCATAAATAGTCGAGAAGTGAGTTTTTTGCTCGTCACGGGTGGGTGACCTC